GCCACATTTGAATTTTTCTTGTACGTATTTTAGTGTTTGCCAATTTCTTTTCGAATTTTAATTAATTCTATTATTCCTTTTAGCGAATGATTTTTAATTCGGGATGAATTTATCAGGACGTGACAGTCTGGCGCCGGGCGTCCCTCGCCCAGCGTGACTATCTCCCGGCCGGTGGCCGATTCCGGCATGAAGCGGCGCGGCAGCCCAGCCTGCCTCTCGCTCACGATGCGGGAGGGCGGCAGCACGCTACCATCGAGCAGAGCGGAGCCCCGTGCCATGGCGCCGGAGGAAGAGAAGATTAAGAGCGAGCGCGTGTGGCGAGGGTAGGGCGCAGGAAAGGAGGAGTTAGGGCGCAAGCAGCAAAGACAAGGGGAATAATGGCGAAAGGAAGGAAACAAGTCCCTTCCTCAGTGCCTTTATACCCTTGCCAACGCTATGCCCGGCTCCTCGTTTCTCGCGCCCACTATTTCGCCCCCTCGTTTCTCGCGCCCACGCTTCCACTAATCCCATTCGCCCGCTTGCGGCGCATGAGGTGGATATGCGGTTGTGGCGGTCGAGGTAGATCATATCGTGCGCGCGTTAATTACGCTCGCCAACCGAAGCGACGTTACCATATCTTCAGATGAAACGAATCGCCATGTCCAGATTCGTGTGCTACTCGAGTAATGTGGCAGTCTTGAAGAGACCGCTCATTGTTGACAGCCGAATTACCACTGCCGATGTGCGTGATTTGTGACCGTTTGGTTTTCTGCCCAATTGTGGAGACCGGTCCCACCTGTCACCAGGCCTTAGGAGTGGCGTCACGCCCGACCGCTTCCCTTAAGGAGGGCGATCGCCCTGGCATAACGCCGGGGGCTACTGTCGGTGACATGGGATCGGGAGTATCATGACTAGAGGTTTGAGGCAGACACAATCGCCCACGTGGCCTGGCACCCTCGGGGGACGTCGGGCCCGAGGGTGATGTGTTCGCCCTCCTCTTAGTCCCCCCGAGGGGGTCGGGCTGCACCCCCCTCGGCCCCGAGGGCCGAGGCGCCCTGACCCCTCGTGGGTTTTCGCTCCGCGTGTATGGGTTAGGTGAGCACAGTGGGGCTCACCTAACCACATTAATTGCGGTTTGGCTGAGCGTGTCACACCGCATGTAGCGCAGTGCAGTGCACTCGTTTATCCGGTCTGTGACCAGTCACAGACCGGTCAGATCGCGGGTTAGGTGGCGGCAGGCGGTCTGACGCACGCCTCGCCCCATCCCGTCAGGCGAGGGCTTCTAGGCGCTCGTCCCCAGCTGGAGCTAGCGTGTTACCTCCCAGAGATGGCACGTTAGCCCTGATCAGATATATGCCAGGCTTCATCCTAACCATTACAAGCAAAATGTAGTGTGAAGGAGAGCCAACGTGCAGATAGCTAAGCTGACGCGTGGTGGACAAGAATGACCGATTTGTGACCATTCTGACACCGGTCATGTCGCCAGCAGACAGCCATGATTCTACGTCGCGCCTGCTCCCGGCGAAAGTGGAGGTAGGTGCGGGCCGTTCCATCAGAAGGTGACTCGAACGGCAACCATGCAAATCTCCGTCTATTTCTGAGAAGGTGGGGGAAATCCCCACAGAAAAAAGAGGGAAATGGTGCATGTGGTATCCCCTTAAGATATAAAAGGAGGACCTTGACCACTGAGAGAAGGGGGAGCTTTTTCTTGGATTGATTTTTTCCAGATTCGGAACCTAGAACAAGGGAGAGGTTGGCTCACACTTTGTAGCTGCTTCATACACAGATCCACCAAAACACAGGAGTAGGGTATTACGCTTCTCAGCGGCCCGAACCTGTATACATCGCCGGTGTCTTCTGTGCTTCCGGTCTCGCGAACCTTCCACATACAGATTGGGAGCTTAGAGTCTCACCTAGGGTCCCCGGCCGAACCGGCAAAGGGGGGCCAGCGCGGTCTCCCGGTGAGGAGCCCCATGCTCCGTCACAGGTGATTGGGATAGATCGGTCATCATGCCGAGACCGTATAAATCACTTAGATCGAAATATACATCTATAACAGGACTATATATGTTTATAGCGTAGCCGATCAGATAGATCTAGCGTGTATCGGCTAATACTCCGATACTACTCTATATTAAGATATTGAAGCAATAATAATATATCAAACAAGAGTTTAACATATTTAGTTATGGCAGTATCTTAACATAAATGGCAGATTTAACATATTAATGAAGCAAATAGGATAACTGTAGTTAAATCAGATACGATCGGCTGAAACTCCGATGCTATTCTAATCAACAACTAGGTGGCAGGCTAGAGATCAATATTCTAAGCACGACTTAATAGATCAAACTCGATTGATGCAGCATTAAGTATGAAAAGAAGAACAATATCTAGACAATCAAGCCGCTAGAAGATTCATAGAATGGTAGATATCTTATATAATCTAAATCAACGTTGAGATCTAACCTAATCGGCTGTCTTTTGCGTGCAAATGTCTGCCGAAGATAGATTAGACAATGATACTGCTATAGATTATGTAAAATATATGATAACTTGACGAATTATATAAATGAGATACGAGTGTCATGAAGATGGAAGCGCTAATCCCTAAGAACATAATTCGTCATAACGAGTTTTACCTCTTGTCGAAGATCGAAACCGATGCAGCTCAACCCGAAAGCAAGAACTCGTCGAAATAAAACTAAAGCAAAAGGTGGCGATGCGCCGGAATTATATTGAATGTGTCTGTCTAAATTACATAGGGCTCGGGGTCTATTTATACCCGAGGATTACAAGATATGCCCATACCGGACACGACTATTATCTCTAACAAACTCTAAACTATCACAAGTCTTTGCGGCAGACTCTTGCCCACACTTATCTATAAGGAATTTACATAAATAATCCTAATTAATAGATACAATTGATTTCCCAGGACTCTATCCATGCGTGGCAATCATCTTGAAGCACATCAACCTGAGCCGGACGTCGCGCACAAGTTCTTTTGTCAGAATCGACTGTATCGGCTTATTTAGCTTAACCCGACATTAGGCGATCCTAGCCATAGCCGATCCTAACCGTAGCCGATTCAGACTCCAGCCGATTCTTGCTCTGTTCCAGAACTCGATCTCCGCCTCCAACTCTTCTTGACCAAATCCCCTTTACTGATACGAATACTTACCAAATTCTGTTGTTAACAGTGGCGCATACAACTATACGATACGGGGGCTGCTAGCTGGCGCGTGCGCGCCAACAGCGAGCACTCCCTCCTCCCCTTTAGTCTTAACCACTATATTAGTTAATATAGTTAACACTAATGGTGGTAACTAGGAAAGATTCTGGAGATTTTTTGGGAGATTTTTTTACTAACAGATTGAAAATATTTTAGGTTAGATTTGAAAACTTTCGATTTAAGTTTTAAATTTTAAAGTCAAATTTTGAAAACTTTCAACTCAGATTTGAAAACTTTCAACTCGAGAATCGAGATTCAAAAACTTTCAAGTCCAGATTTGAAAATTTTGAAAACTTTCAATTTGAGATTTGAAAACTTTCAACTCGAGATTCGAAAACTTTCAACTCGAGATTTGAAAACTTTCAACTCGAGATTTGAAAATTTTGAAAACTTTCAAATCGAGATATGTAAACTTTCTAGTCGAGATTTGAAAACTTTCAAGTTTAGGTTTGAAAATTTTCAACTCAAAATTTATAAACTTTCAAACTCAAAACATGATAAAGATAAAAAAAATCAGAAAAAAGTAGGAAAGAAAAGGAAAAAAAGGTTAAAAAAACGAAAAAAAGCGCGGAGAAGTCGCGCGTGCGCCGACGCAGCGGCGCTGGGCCTTCTGGGCCTGAAACGCGCGCCGCCGGCAGCACGCGCGCTAACTAGCATTAGCGCGGACTTACCGGGGGTTCCTAGGAGGCGCGTGCGCGCCGACTGCTTAATTCGCGCAGCCGCGCGCGTCTCCTCGACGTCTTGTCCGCGCGCTTCCGCCGCTAATTATGGCAATTAGTGTTAATTACTGTCATTAGTATTATTTTTAAAACAGTAACAACGTAAATAATTCAGTTACCAGTTTTTTTTAGAAAAGTAATGGAAAGTTTTAAATTTGTAGTCAAAAGATTTTGAAATTTGAGCTGAAAATTTTAAATTTTGATTTCAACTTTTTAAATTTTGATATAGAAGTTTTCAAGTTGAGTTGAAAGTTTTCAAAATTGAAGTTGAAAGTTTTTAAATTTGAGTAAAAAGTTTCAAAAATTGAGTTGAAAGTTTTGAAATTTGACTTGAAAGTTTGTAATTTGATTTGAAAGTTTCGAATTTTTAGTTGAAAGTTTTTGAATTGAGATGAAAATTCTAAAATTGTGAGTTGAAAACTTTCAAATTTGAATCGAAAGTTTTTGAATTTTGAGATGAAAATTCTAAAATTGTGAGTTGAAAACTTTCAAATTTAAATCGAAAGTTTTCAAATGCTGAGTGGAAAGTTTTCAAATTTTGAGTTGAAAGTTTTCAAAATTTTCAATTTAAAAATTTAATCTTCTGTTAAAAAGTTTAGTTAAATGTTCTAATCACTGCGTGCATGTATGTACGTGGATTGTCCAATTACAATTAGGAGATACTATTACTAATTGAGTGTGTTACTCAACGTGCATATGGGGCATATATACGTACATGACTGAATCATCGTTAATCACCGTTGAAAAGTCACTAGGCCCAGCAGGCCCATGTCAGACGCGAAGCTGAGGCGCTGCCGTCGCGAAACGCTCGCTGACTTGCGGGAACTAGCAATCTTGATACGGGCGTCCTGCACTGCTCGAGCCATGCGCGTACAACCAGACGTGTATAAACACATGGTGGACGTACTTTGACCTGAAAAAGAAATATACATGGTGCACAGTGGAGAAGGGGTGGACAGGACAGAGGACACACGGGACTAGTTTGTGGATGCAAGACTCTTTCGGTAATGAATTACAAACAACGCCTTGCATGATTGCATCATCGCCCTAAATTGAAACAGCGATGATATGATACCATCTCTGGTTGTTGCATTTAGCGACAGGCGATCAGATCAGAGGAACGCCGGTAATAACTGAACTATCGTCGTCCTAGCTAGTTCTCAGGCGGACTGGGAGGGGTCGAAGTAGGCGGCGTGTCCTCCCGACGAGATGTCAGCGGTTGAGATGAAGACGGCGTGCGTGACCGGCGGGAACGGGTATATCGCTTCGGCGCTCATCAAGATGCTGCTTCAGAAGGGATATGCTGTCAACACGACGGTCAGAAACCCAGGTGGTATTATTTCCCGTTTTAATCTTCTGTTCATACGTATTCAGCCCTTGTTAAGTTCCAAACATTTTTATCAAACTTCCAACTTTTCCATCACATCAAAACTTTTCTACACACAAACTTCCAACTTTTCCATATTCTAATTTCAAGCAAACCTCCAATTTTGACGTGAACTAAGCACAGTTAAAGTTTTCCTTCCTTTCAGATTCAGGGGTGGAATCTTTGGTCCGCAGTAGCATATTTTCTGAATTGTCGTCATGAACAACAGAAAGAAAGTCCTACTTTGTGATAAAAAAGATTCTAGAAAAATAATAAGATATATACCAATCCAGAGATATATTCAAATTTCAACTTATACAATTATTAGAACAAAAATAACAAATTTGGTTGCAAATTACACGTTTTATTTGAGTCAAATTTGTCGTTTTCATTTCTACTTATGTAAGCTGATTTTGAACTTGTATTGTTTGTGAAATAATATATCACATATTGATCAATCTTGTTAATTTTTTAAGAAAAATAATGATTTTTTTTGGCGAAATGCAAAATAACGAGAGAACATTCCCGAGGATGAATATTTTTTTCGCGAACGCGCAAAAAGATTGCACTTCAATATATATTAGAAGAAAATGAGTTTTTGTTACACAACACAATCAGCCAGACTGGCTTATGCCAAGGAAAGAGGAAAAAAGCAAAAAAAAAAAAAAGTAAACTAAAGCTTAGGAAGTACTACGGCGGCTAAACGCAACTCCTAACAGCGGGAAGGGGCATAGCCACGCTACACTCCCAAAAAATCCCCAAAAGTGGCACCACAGATGACCCTCCGAGAGGATGGATTCCAGGACCACAGGGACTGAAGAGAGCACCGAGTCAAAAACCCAGAAGTTCCGTTCCTTCCACGGCTGCCAAGAGACCAGAGCACCAGGGTCCTGAGGATGAATAGAATTTTCCCTTCTACTTAGCAAATGCCAAATGCCACTCTTACCTGCACCATGTAGAAAATATTTTTTTTAGATAATGTAGAAAATATTTACATGTTCAAACCGATAGTCGCACCTAATTCATATAGTGAAATATGCTGGAAAGGATGCAAATCGTTATGATCTCAATTCTCAAGACGACGCTACTACGAGTTTCCAGAGTTCAGTTCTGCCTCTGAAGATCCTACTCTTGTGTATTCAGATGACATGAAGAAGACTTCCCATCTCAAGGACTTGGAAGCACTAGGCCCCTTGGAGGTCTTCCGCGCTGACATGGACGAAGAAGGCAGCTTCGACGATGCCGTTGCCGGCTGCGATTACGCCTTCCTCGTCGCCGCTCCGGTGAATTTCCAGTCACAGAATCCTGAGGTGAACAGCTAGCTAATTAGCGCGCTTTCTCTAATCGACACCACTGCATGTTGTGTTGTCTCATCTCTGATGATATATATATATATATATATATATATATGCTCTCTAAGTCTCCAGTTCTGAAATTAATTTGCTCTTGATTTCTACGATGACAAAGCTGCATTTGTACGTTAATTTATGGCAGAAAGAGCTTATTGAAGCCGGCGTCCAAGGAACCATGAATGTGATGAGGTCGTGCGTGAGAGCCGGCACGGTGAAGCGCGTGATCCTCACATCGTCGGCGCCCGCCGTCTCCGGCAGGCCGCTGCAAGGCGACGGCCATGTCCTGGACGAGGATTCCTGGTCCGACGTCGAGTACCTGACGAAAGAGAAGCCACCAGCTTGGGTCACGTTCTACCTTTTTTGAGCCTCCATCTCATCCCTACAATTTTTTTGATAATGCATAGAAATCCATCTCTATATCCACTCAAACAAACGTTACGAATAGAAGTACTTAAACTCTAAAAAGAAGAAACAATGCTACTACTAGAAGACTAGTATACTCCATAAAGATGATGACGCCCTAATGCTTATAGATGGCCATATGGCTCGAGACCCGCGGCCCAGCCCAAGGCATGCCAATTTAGCCCGGCCCAAGCACGTCACAGCCCAACCGGGGTCGTGCTCGTGCCGGCCTGACCCGACAGCCGGGCTGTGCTTGGGCCACTCCCTTGGCACGGTGGACCGGTCCGGCACGGCATGATCGAACAAAAATAGTGGAGGGATGTAAAATAGACTTATGCTAGCCCAAAGACAAGAGGAATACAAAATAGATTTATTTTTCAGCCATATGAACACAGCCCACAGAGTTTAGGTAGGAAAAATAGACTTATTCTGTAGAGAAGCACGATAGGTTGTCGTGCCTTCGGGCTAGCCCAGCACGGCTTGAGTCTTACTGGGCCGTGTGTGTAGCCCGTGAGCTGGCACGGCACGTCCCGGTGTGTAGGGCCAGGCCGGCCCGACTGACCTCACCCTAGGCATGGCTGTGCCGGGCGATCTATTTGGCATCTATACTAACGTTAGCATACCCCATTATTGTTTTTCGCAGGCGTATAGTGTCTCAAAGGTGCTCATGGAGAAGGCAGCATGCAAATTAGCGGAGGAGAACAACATCAGCCTCATCACCGTGTTCCCGGTGTTCACTTTGGGTGCAGCGCCGACGCCGACGGCCGCAACAAGCGTCTCAGCTATGCTCTCCTTGCTATCTAGTGAGAACCTGATCGAGAGACATGCGCCAAATTAGTTTAAGAAGATCAGCGAGCACAAATTCGACTGATCGATGCTAGCTGTTTTCTGTTTTTTCAGGTGATGAGACGCAGCTAAAAACCCTGAAAGGCCTGGCAGCAACCGGCCCCATTCCGACAGTTCACGTGGACGACCTCTGCCGCGCCGAGGTATTCGTCGCCGAGAAGGAGTCGGCGTCGGGGAGGTACATCTGCAGCAGCCTCAGCACCACCGTCGTGGCATTCGCCCGTTTCGTGGCAGGAAAGCACCCTCGGTACAACGTCAAAACTGACGGGTACGTACTTACGTACGAACTGGCAATCTGGCACTCTCAGTTTCGAGTTATAGCGACACAAACTTCTACTACATTCGTTTTAAAAAAAATCCAATTCTAAATTTGAATCTGGACATAAATTCAGGATTGGGTTTTTTTTTACGGAGGTAGTACGGTGAATCAGGGAAGAGAACTGACGGTGAATCGGTGATCGTCTCTTGTATGCGTATATTGGCAGCTTCCAAGGGTTCCCTGAGAAGCCGAGAGTGTGCTATTCGTCGGAGAAGCTGGTGAGGGAAGGGTTCGAGTTCAAGTGGACGGATCTGGACGAGGTATTTGACGACCTCATCGAGTATGGCAAGGTCCTGGGGATTCTACCGCAATGAACCGCTGATGATGCTCCTTCACTTTGGAGTTTGGACTGGTCACTCTTGTGTGAAATGAAGTCATTGTCGTGGTGTGTTAGTACTTGTCACGACACACGGTATGGCAAGATACGATAAGTACTTCTATTGTTATGGGCTCTACTACAAATAAGGAAGCGATGGATCGGCCGCACAAATTAGGCCCATCACAATGCAAGCGTCATATCCCGCACGATTCTGAATCACACCACGCGACGCGACGCCCGCACGGGCAACAGCGACACCGCACTCCGCACGCAGGCACCCGCGATCGCAGCGGAAACCGCCACATAATGCTGTTCGCGATGAGCCCCCCCGCGTACCGGTGAATCTGCGTGCGCCACGCGCGCGCGACGCCACGCGACGCGTGCAGAATCGATCGCGCGCGGCCGGGATGGGATCCGGACGGGACGACGATTGATCTCGGAGCGAGTGAGGTGCGGCGTTAAGATCCAACGCAGGAGTCGTGACATCCTGCACGTACGTACACGTGCTGGACTTGGACTGACGTGGTGGCAGCAGCTACTACTGCATGCCAAAACCCTTGAGACGTCGCGAGCGAATAGAACGCCACTGCCCGGGCGGACACCATGTGGGACTAAAAAAACGTACACGATCGTACGTGCTCGATCGATGACGGGAGAATTGGAAGGGAGCGCATGGTGGACACGAGGAAAAGAGAAGATTTAGAAGGAACGTATGGTGAAGTATTAGTATATAATTTATTACTCCTTCTGTTCTAGATTACAAGACGTTTTAACTGTTTTAAGTTTGAACAATTTTGTAAAAAAAATACTAAGACAAATTTATTAAAAAACATATTTAATTATTGATTTGATGAAACTAATTTAGTATTATAAATATTACTATATTACCTATAAACTTTGACTTTGACCAAAGTTAAAACGTCTTATAACCTAAAACGGAGAGTAATTATAAACTATCTTGAATTTAAAAATAAGTTAATATGATTTTTAGAATAATTTTTCTATATAATTTTCTTAAAAAAATCCATCAATAGTTCGGGAAACGTGTGTGCAGAGAATGAGAGAAATCTTTTCTCAGTGTACAACTGCATAACACGGTCTTAAAGAGAAATCTTCTCTCAATATATAGCTGCCGAACTAAATAATCATAGTTCTCCATAAAAATGAAAAAAAAAAACCTTATCATTAGGGATGTGTCGGGCATGGCCAGCTATGGGCACTTGGGCAGCAGTGCAGCACTGCCCCACTCCGATACATCGATGGCAATCCTTTTCTTCTCAGCCGGATAAAGCCTTGTAGATATAAAAAATTGACTTCTCAAATCATCTGGTTGGACTATGAGTAGACCAAATACATTACGCACATTTCTCTTGAGCATATATACGCCACTAATAAACAGCTCAAGACAACCAAACGCAGGCGCCCATATCAGCCACGGCATGCATTGCCATACTTAATCCATGTTAGATTCAAAGTCGCCTTATCGGATAGGTATTTTTGTGCAGCACGGCAACCTGTCCAAAAAGCACACAAGTACTAGTACATGACTGTAAAATGCAAAGCCAATCGCAATTACAGTCTTCCAATTCCAACTTGTCCAAAGATACTTCACCTTGGAGTGCGTTTAGTTTACGTTAAAATTAAAAATTTGGTTGAAATTGAAACGATGTGACAAAAAAAGTTAAAATTTTATATGTGTAAAAAAGTTTTGACGTGATGAAAAAGTTGAAAGTTTGAAAAAAAAAAGGTTTAGAACTAAACTCAGCCCTAATGCATCCAACGATGGTAATCACCACGCCAGATGTGACAAATACGCTGTAGATCCAAATCCTGGATCGGAAGAGCATGTACTAGCAGTAGTCCAGAAAAATGATTTTGTCGCAACTGTTGACAGTAAGCAGAGTTAAGAAACTGCGTAAATAACTTCCAAATAAAACAAACAAAACACACACAACTCACACAAAGTACACAACTCACAAACACAGGCAACTCGCTCTCCCTACAAATACAACAGGGCGCACCGTGCAAAAACGCATCGCCCCCCACGCCACCGAGCGACACGCACGCACGCACACGCGCGCGCCGACCGAGCGGATAGCCATGTCGACGGAGGCGCTCCTCGCCGGCGGAGGCGGCGGTGGCGGTGGAGGCGAGGTGAAGCGGCGCGTGAGCATCGACGACGCGCTGGCGTGGCACGCGGGGGAGTTCGGGCGGTGGCAGCTGCGGCACTTCGTGCTGGTGTCGTCGGCGTGGCTGCTGGAGGCGCTGCACACCATGGTCATCATCTTCGCCGACCGGGAGCCGGCCATGGTGTGCGCCGCCGGGGACGGCCGGTGCGGCGACCGCTGCGCCGGCGCCGGCGCCGCCGCGGGGACCGGGTGGGAGTGGGCCAGCGGGCGCGCCTCGTCGACGGTGTCCGAGTGGGGCCTCGTCTGCGGCGAGCGGTACAAGGTCGGCCTCGTCCAGGCCATCTTCTTCGCCGGATGCATGATTGGTCAGTGCTCCAATTCTCGTCCAAATTACCTTCGTTTCCAAGTAGTTTTTTTTTTTGACGAATTACGCAACGGAATGCCAAAATGCAAAATACTAAGATTGGATGAAACGCTTGCCTTAATTGTGGCATCGACGTGAGAGGCAATACGTAATATACGAGACTAATCCGTGAAACAAAAATAGGCTAGCATTTCAAACTAGATTGGACGATGGATTGCAGACCGCGACGTTCCGGGAGATTTCGTGGTGGTGCATTTTTGCAGCCCGGAATCGTACGTGTGGCTCCAGCTAGTTTGGTTGCATACGGCCGCATCTTGGAGCTAGCTAGCCAGCCAGCCAGCCAGCCAACATCCCAGCGTGTGCTACTGTAGTTCATTGTCCCATCCGTTTAATTTTTCTACTAGTAACAGATAAAGGGTCCGATTTACTACTGAACAATTGCATATTTGCATCACACTCGTTAACAATTTAGATTGGTTGTCATTACACATGAGATTAGATTTGACAGGTCAACTTTATGCCATCAGCCACTCAGCATTAGCATCGTCGACATAATGGATGTAAATTACTGAGCATTATCTGCACAAGCGGCGCCGTGCCAATGCCTCCCTTATCTTTCCGCGGCTGCTGGCGGCTGGGAGATTAATTAATTAGGTTCCGGACAGTTCGGTGTTCAGCTTTTGCTTGACTCCTGTACCGTCTTAACATCATCTTTCGCTAACTTTAATTCCAAAAGCTGTCGATCGATCGAACCCAATATGCTGCCTGGACCCTGTTAGCCGTGGGTTCCTGCATGCGTGGCTGCGCTCACTGTCGTTATTTGCTTTAGCCCAACCTGTCACTGTTGTTAACCTACTGTCAATATAATTGATCAGGTCACTGAATTGATTACGTTATCTCACGGTGCTCGATGAAAAGCTAGCCGTCTAGTTCGGCTGATCTGATCTAAATCACGTGGCAATAGGCCGGATGCAGATTGTGTCTCGCAGAAATTTCCTTCCTTGTTTCTCAGCGCATGTTTAAATAGCTGTTATTTTCAAGCTTTTTGTTTGGATTGGCCAGAACAAGATATACTTTCGAATCTTTTGACTGGTACTAGCATCTCCCTGCCTGACACCGGTATCTTTGGAATTTTGGATGGGGACTGGAAGCCAAGATGTGAGATCAATAAATCATTTGAATCGCATTATATCGGTTACTACATAATCACCAAAATCAAGCTTGTCGAATCCTGGTAGTGATCAATAGCTCCTAACCTTTTTTTTTTAGAACTACTAATAGCTACTTCACCATGTCTGTTTCGGCGGTGGCATTAACCAGTCAAGATCGCCGGCGCTGGTGGCCCATTTGGGCCTAATTTTCATCATCAACGTAGGCTAGTTATTAGGCTGGGCCTTGGCCCAGTAGCTGACACAGTCGATGGGCCAGTTTTCCTTTCCTTTTTGATTTGGTGACAGAAGTAATTGTAGCTGAGTTCCACAAAGAAAAAGAAAAAAAAAAGAAGTAGAAATAATTTTAGCTGTGTTGTCTTGGCAGGCGCCGGCGTGTTCGGACACCTATCGGATTCGTTCCTCGGTCGGAAGGGCTCGCTGCAGGTGGTCTGCGTCCTCAATGGCGTCTTCGGCATGCTCACCGCGATGGCGCCCAACTACTGGGCGTACGCCGCGCTGCGCCTCCTCACCGGCTTCAGCGCCGGCAGCGTCGGCCTCTGCTCCTTCGTCCTCGCCACCGAGCCCGTCGGCCCCTCCCGACGCGGCGCCGCGGGGATGTCCACCTTCTACTTCTTCTCCGGCGGGATCGCCGCCCTCGCCGGCATCGCGGCGCTGTTCCCGACGTCCTGGAGGATGCTCTACGTGGTCACGTCCCTGCCGTCGCTCGTGTTCGTCGTCGCCGTGCTGCCGTTCGTCTCGGAGTCCCCGCGGTGGTACCTCGTGCGCCGCCGCGCCGACGACGCGATGCGCGTCGTGCGCGCCATCGCGTCCAGCAATGGCAGGAGCATTCCTGACGACGTGTCCCTCAAGCTCGACGACGAGGGAGACGACGACAACGGCGCCGGCGCAGGCAAGGTCGTCGACTCGTCAGCGTCGGCGTCGGGCTCCATCATCGACGTGTTCCGGTCGCGGACGACGAGGTTCAGGCTGGTGCTCTCGGTGGTGATCAACCTGCTCGCCTCGGTGGTGTACTACGGCCTCAGCCTCAACGTCGTCAACCTCAAGACCAACCTCTACGTCAGCGTCCTGGTGAACTCGCTCGCCGAGATGCCCGCCTACCTCCTCACCGCGCTGCTCCTCGACCGCTTCGGCCGGAAGCCGCTCGCCATCGGCACCATGCTTCTCAGCGGCATCTCCTGCTCCGCCGGCAGCCTCATCGCCGGCGCCGGCGCCATGAGGTATACGTAATCTCCAATCATCCAATCAAATTCAGCTACGCGAACAAATTTCTGATCGATAGAGGGCAGGGTGGCGAGGCTGGCGTGCGGGGTGGTGGGGATCTTCGGCATGGCGGCGACGTACAACCTGCTGTTCATCTACACGGCGGAGCTGTTCCCGACGGCGGTGCGGAACGCGGCGCTGGGGTGCACGTCGCAGGCGTCGCAGATGGGCGCCATCCTGGCGCCGCTGGTGGTGGTGCTCGGGGAGCGCGTGCCGTTCGCGCTGTTCGGCGTGTCGGGCCTCGTCGGCGGGTTCCTC